GGACGCGCCTCGTATCAACCAAACTAAATTTTACTGAGGAATGCGTCCTTATGTATTGAAGAGAGAAACAGTTTTTGTGTTCGTGCTTCATGTAATTATAGTAAGGTGAATTTATTTCAGTTTCCAGTTATTACTCTGGGGAAAACAACAGTAGATGAAGATCAAAAAGCAAGTGTTCAAGAGGCTCTCTCTTTCCTTGATAAGTTTCTGGAGGGTGGCTCCTGGGTAGCTGGGAACAAAATGACTATTGCAGATTTTGCCTGTGTTGCATCTGTGTCCAGCATTGTGGTAAGTTCACAGTGCTGCTACTACGGCTGCTGTTTTATTATTATTATTATTATTTTGCATTTTCTTATATTTATTTATTTTTCCAGAACCCAAGGTTACATTTGGATTTAACATTTTACATTCTAATTTTTCTTCTCCATTCTTGTCTGTCTGCCCACAAATTCTCTTTGATGTTTCTCTCCCTCATTGATGATTGAATTCCCTGTAACCAGGTGTTTGGAGGATGTCCTCTTTTCCTTCTTCCAGGAAAAATGTATAAACATTGTTAAACCGGAAATATATAATATATATATATTTTTTTTAGGGAAGATAGGAAGTAACAGGAGGCTGGAGAAAATTTTATAACGAGGAGCTTCATAGTTTATACTATTCATCAAATATTGTTGTGGGAGGATAACATTAATATGAATTATATAGAAACATACTGAGAATGTGGATTGGATTCATGTGGCTCAAATTATTGTCCAGTGATAGGCTCCTGAACACATTACTGAACCTTTGGGTTTCTTAAGAGCCCAGAAATTTCTTGGCCAATTAATTGTTCTAACAGGGAATTAAAACGTACAAAGGTAGGGCATCCTTCAAAGGCATAACATTCATACTAGGTTTTATGAAAGTCTGAAGACATTTACAGTCATTAATGAGACAATATAAAATAAAGTAGACTAAACATGATTTTACATGTGAGGTTTGAATTTGAGGTTTATTATTTTACAGGGACTTGGCCTGGATATAACAGCCCACAAGAATGTGACTGCTTGGCTTGCTCGTTGTCGCTCAGAAATGCCATATTATGAAGAAGTGAATGAGTCAGGAGCTGAACAAATGAGAAAGGCATTTCTTAGTCGCCTTCAGGGCAATAAAATTTAATAGTTTCTGTCTGACAAACAAGAAACAAGGAAGTGGTTGATAAACAGACATTTGTATCACTTATGAAGTGGGAAAATGCTAGAAATTTTAAGCCAATGTAAAACATTTGTTAAAGAGATGAATGCCAAGTACAGCTCCAATAAAAGAACAGATAATTAATTGTATTCTGTTAAAAACTTACAATTTTGCTCTAGTGCATGTCGTCGTACAAGTCCAAGACAATCAGTAGAGGTTGTAACTGACGGCATCAAAACAGAAACTTGTATACATTTATACAGAATGTGGCAGGGAAAACTGACGGTATTGAAATAAAATTCAATTCAATTCATTTATTTAAATGAAACAAAAATAATATTTTTAACTTCTGTTTTTAACAAAATGAAGAACATCACAAAGCATTTAATGCACATAAGTTACTTATTAAAAATTATTTCAATAAGATGACTTCAAACCTGTATACACTGTTGTACTCTTTAGTGCATATTCCCCATCACTTGTGTTATCTCTTCTGGTACTACTGCAGTTTCTTCTCTAATGTTCTGCTTCAATTTAGTGATTTGTTCCTCTAAATTTTATCTGTATTTTTGTACATAACTGTCTCAGAATCAACGTTCAGGATAATTTAATGATAGAGTCATTAAATTTTCTGAGTCTAGGTTGGGAAGGAACAGGTCTAGAAGACAACAGACAGATGGAGAGACTTGGTTCCTAGATGAACCACATAAAGTGGAAATACCTTGGGAAGAAGTAGAACAGTTGTTATAATTAAAAAAAGTGGAAAAATTCAGGTACCTGTGAACAAATATTGCAAAAAATCATGATTCAGAGCAGAATGTATGCTGAAAATACAATTTAACATACCACTCCTTAAGAATATGATACACATGCAGTGTGTAGAGCAAGTTCCTCTTGATTACTCTCAACTCAGAATCATATCTACTCTTATTAATAGGGCAAGATTATATAAAACAATCACCAAACTCCAATATAACTTTCACTTACCGATTTTTCATGAGATGAGAATATGTCTGTAGGCCAATGTGTTGATCCAGAGTTAATTTGTACTCTTCACTTGTGTCCTACAACAAAGGAGGATGATCAGAGTTCAGCTAACATATGCCTTCTTTATGTTTAGAACAGCTACCACTAAAGAACAACATATTATATCAGTAAAACCTGTCATACATTAATGGTGAGGGAATAATAATTGAAACTAAAAATTATATATGCTAAATAAGTTTTTAGTTCCTTTCTAACAATTAGCATTTTGAGGTTATGTAAGAAACCTATATTTGTACAGCTCTGTAAATTAAATATAATCTTGATGTATCCTATAAAATGTTCATTTATTTTCAGTTTCTTTAACACTATCAGCTGCTCATATCACTTTGAATCAAGTGATATGTAAAGGTGATTATGAGTGGAGATTTAAGTATGTGGCATGTAACAGTATCGGCCTGTTTGAAGCCCCTTCCTGGCATTCACCTGGCTTAACTTTGGAAAAAAATGAAAACCTCATTTAGGCTATCTAATGGACAAACAATATTAGAACCAGATTTTTTGTTAGACACTTTATTTCTGAACTAATTTGCTTTGTGTGAAAAATTATTACATACTAGAGTATTACTTTCCAACTGCTTGATTCCATATCCTTCCACATTCATCATCTGTGATGAACCCATCATCTAATGCTATATAACATTGTTAAATATGCCTCTTTATTACACAAACAGTGAACTGTCAACCCACCTTGCTTTGCAAATAATTGTGGCAGATTTGCAAGAGGTCCCCAGTTCTTGCACACAGTCTAATACCAAACCTCTGTAGTAATTCTACACCATGATACACTCCATGTAATAGCCACTTTCCCATGGATGAAATTAAATTCTTTCTTTCTTATCTTCCTCCACTTTCAGTGATGTACAGGAAGTAAAACTGAGATCCATAGCCTGATAAGCTTTATTGTGTTACTAGTGACTTGCAGTGTCAAAAGTAAGAAGACTGTATTCAAGTTTTTCAGTTCCATATTTTAAGTCTGATAATAAAAGAAGATTAATACCTGCTAAACTTCATTTCAGGAGACAGCAACTATACCACAATAAATACAATTAAGAATTTATTATACTTCATCGGCTCGTACATTTAAGAAATTGATAATATCATTACACAAATTTGCATTAAGAGGCTATGATGACACTGTGGAACATTTTGTCTCGGCAGGTTTGCATTTGAAGCGCACAAAAAGACAAAACCAAATATAAGAAATATAATGCTGTTAATAAACACAGAAGCAGAGATTTGGGCTAGAGGCAAGGACAACACACTGCTGCATTTTAGACTTTGACTGGTACCAAGAAACTTGTTGAGACATTAATGTAGACAAATTGACCAAGTACAGTAACACTCCTGCATAAGGCAACAAGAATGAACAACCTTACCATGGACGAGCTACAAATTGAAAATGAAGTTAATATGAACAAATAAAACAGCAAGAAAAAGATTACATTCTACAATGCCACCATAATCAACTCAATGTTGGTGGCCAGATGTGCTGGCAAATGGTACCAATTGTAATATACGTAAACAAGCATTTCAGTGTAGAAGTTACAGTGAACCACAAGAGGGTCAGGGTTCTAATGATTCTGTAGTGGCAGATTAAGGATATAGAAGCTTGGATAGGTTTATGACTCATAACTCTGAGTCATTAATTTTCTTTTAAAAATATATAATTATTCAACTGTATAAATAGATTTTGATATCTACAGAAACATGGTTTCTTTTACATATATATATACACTTAGTTTTTCTTACTATAACTGTTAAGTAGACATTGACAAAAACAAGTTAAATATTAATTTGTCATTTAGAATTCATTACATTCCATAATTTATTATTTAAGCATTTAGCATTACATTCCATAATTTATTATTTAAGTGTTTAAGATAGATGATGACACACTTTAGGCAGCCTATGTCATGTTCTGATAATTCCAAATCTACTCTCAAAGCATACTCAAATATAAAACATAACTCCAACTTACAACTCTGTGAATAAGTTTCTTTTGCACTTTGTGATTTAATGCTCAATTTTCATTGTGATATTGCACTGCACACACTAGTCAGACCAATGGAGATTTGCCGCTGTCAGTGGACTGAATGAAATATGAAGGCAGAGGAAACACATACGGAGCATCATGCCACAAATGTTCAAACCAATTTACTGACTAAATCTTTAATGGCTATATTTTCTTTCTTCAACTGAATGGCTGAATCAGAATATAATATTCAGCATAAAATACATGTATCTGATGACCTGACAGTATGTTCAGTTCCTACAATTAAAAATTCTGAGCATTTAAGATCAGTCTTACTCAACAGTTACATTCACGTTTTTCTAGCTTCAAATTTCAAATTACTTTGTTACTAATTAGACGATGCTTAGTTAACTTTTTTCAGGAAAATGTAATGATATGTAACCATTACAAATTAATATACTAATTAACCAATTTATGGCAGTAGTTAAAAATGTTTATCATCAATGAGCCATTACTTCATCATGTCAGCGTATAAATATGTAAAATATTGAGTGAATGTAACATAATTAGAAGACATAATACTATAAAATTAAAATGAGTGAAAACAAATATCAAGTTGATACTAAATAAAACTACTGGCGTGGTTTGAAGTTCTTTAATGAATATTAAAAGAATACTCATTTCAAAATAGCAACTCTCTAGTATGATCCCTGGTCTGGGCTTAGAGAAGTATTTATCCTGTTCCAATAGATCCATCTTCCAAAACCATTTTCCGAAGTCGAAACTTCTGGATCTTTCCAGATACAGTCTTAGGGAAGTCTGCCATAAATAGAATATGGCGTGGAATTTTGAAATGTGCAATCTGCAAACAATGGAAAAGACCAAAATATTTGTAAAACAAACCATTTCGTAATTAAAACTCATAATTTACATTTAAATGGTTGCTTTATTCTGTGGAACAAAAACTCAGTATAAGAGCAAGGCTTTTCTTTCTTTTTTTCTTCTTCTTCTTGAGATCATGAGCCTGTTTCCACCAGAGTATAAATCTTGCCAACTCCTACAGTGTTCCATGACTTTTCCCTTTGGGGAGCTGTCTCTTGCTATTTATATATCTGTAATGGGTGCAGGAATGTGAATGAGAAAAAGGGGATCAGAGGAATGAAGAAGTCAGTGGACTTGCCTTCAACCCTCCTTTGCCCATGATCTTTTTGAGGACTTACCTTGATAGTTATCCCTTTGAGACTTACTCTAATATATGCCCCTTTCAGGACTTGCAGTCCTCTGTTGTTATCCCCCCCCCAATCCTTACCACTGGGCCACTCTCTTATTTTTCTTACTTGTATCATCTGGTCTGCCTACCCTTCAGTTTCCCTAGTTGATTTATTGTCTGCTTACCATCTTTCTTCATTCTTCTGATAACCCTTTCTCCCACTCAAACTGCCTTGGTTCTCTAGATTCCTTTCTCAAATCCTAACCCCCAGCCTGGTTCAGAGTTTCACGTTGCATTGACCCACTGGTCAACCCCAAGAAGGGCTGATTCCTTCTCTCCCTCACCCACCCACCTGTCTGTCTCCCTGTGTGAAGACTTCCTATTGGTCTGGTCACAACCCATAAAACATTATCATCTGCTGTGAGAACCTCAAATCTCACACAGATAGCATTGTTCTTCTTTTGTAGCCAGAATTGCTTTATTGTCTACATATACAATGGTGCTGTGTAGCGTACAGCAGAAGTTTGGGAAATTTGAATTCTGACACACAAATTTCTCATTCACCAAAAAACAAAGACAATCCTTTAACATAATGTGAAGTGCAACTTTAACAAGCTGTTAAGCCCTTTCACAGCCAAGACTCAATTATCTGTGTCGTCAGCGTTAAGTTTTCCTGGGCGAAGCTTAACTATTTGCCAAGACTCAATTATCTGTGTCGTCAGCATTAAGTTTTCCTGGGCGCAGCTGAACTATATTTCTGACTAACTAACTAACTAACTAGATGGCTTACGGAACCTGACAGTTCATCACTGAATTAACCAAGGCCCTCCACCGGTTCCTGTCCTGGGCCAACAAAATCCAGTCGCCTTAAACTCCTATCACCCATCTATCCCACTTGATATTATCCTCCCATCTACATCTAGGTCTCCCCAATTGTCTCTTCCCCTCAGGCTTCCCGACCAATACCCAGTGCACACCTTTCGCACCATACATCTGTGCCACATGCCCCGCTCATCTCCTTGATTTAATCACCCTGACAATGTTGGGGGAGGAGTACAAATTTTTAAGTCTATTTGTGTGTACTTGTTTAAAAATTTCCTATATCTTTCCTACTATAGATATATCAAAGAAGCAAAAACTCAACCATTCTGCAATCTATAGGCAATACAATGAAAGATCGTCTTTGTACTGCACCAAAGATGTCTCTGTAGTACTTGAGAAATGGAATGCAATGTGTTGAGACATTTATAGCCAGTTGCCAATTTGTACTGCGTAATGTACCTTATTTTGATGAATACCATACCATGTAAAATTACTAAGAAGATTTTAAACAAACTGTGGGTTAATTTTATAAATAACAACCAACATATATCTTTGAAACCAATTCTAAACTGAAACATAACTCTTTTGTATAAAGTGTAAAAACCTGCTCAGAAGGGATTGGTCATAGATGACAATATCTGCCAGTGAACGGGTTAAAGAAAGGATGATGATAAATACCTTCCCCTTGCAATACTGTTTTACTTGGTCGACCGTGAGCCTGGAACCATCCACCAGTCTGATACACGCACACACTTCCTCTCCCAGCCGAGTGTCAGGAACCCCAATCACCTGTGAAATAACAGTATTAGAAAAATACTGAATCCCTCAATTGCAGTATTCTGTTGCACTGTTACCCTTATATTGAGGGCTGCAGGTAATTTGTTTGTCTAACACGTAAGCCAAATAATATATACTGAGAACACTATTGCGTCAAATACGTTATTACCTGAGCTTCCAATATTTCTGAATGCTGTTCCAGGACCTGCTCAATCTCCTTCGGAAAGATGTTTTCTCCTCCACGTATGATCATGTCCTTGATGCGTCCTACCACTTGCCCATAACCATCTTCGTACAGCACAAACTGATCTCTGAAATAAAGTCTGTCAATTAGCTGGGCTTTCATTACCATTATATAAAAACTATGATAACCTGCCATTATCACGAGCCATGTTAACTCAAATCAAAGTTACCAATGAAGACTGTCAATATGTAACTGCATCCTCACCATACTTTCCCCTCCAGGCCATCCTTGCATGAAAGAGCATAAGCTTTCTATATATATTTTTAATTACTACCAGAAAATTGATGAGTTCTGTTTCCTCAACCAAGCTACTGCAGTATTCCATGTACTCGTGCAGTTCTAATATCTCTCTTCTGGACAGAATGTAAGATCATAAATTTTTAAATAAAATTAAGAAATTAATAGCTTACCAAATTTGATGGATGCAGTAAGTTTACTCCTGTCTTTGTCAAGTTAAATAAGAAATTATTGCACATAATGATTTTGATCTGTGGTGATAATGAGAGCTGTTTTGTTCACAATTTTTTAATTGTAAGCATTAGACCATCCATTTACAAGCTCTGTTCCATAAAGAAAAGCAGGTTATGTTAATACAAACTAGTAGTTGTGTAAATGCAAGTAGTTCTAAAAATTCACTGAACATTCTTTTACACTAAAGAACTTAAATCATTTAGGAATTTGAATTAATTTAGCTGTAATTCTTTAGTAAAAAGTTATTTTACTTGAAAAGTGTGTGGGACCCACAGGTAGATTAGCAACCACCTACCTGGTCTTCAAAGTGTTAAAAGACTAACTACAACCTGGAAACTCATCTCTTGAACCTCACAAGTGGCAATATCTCTTATAACATCCAGGATGGTTCCAGTGTCTATCAAATGAGGACCATGATACAGAGTGCCATGACAGTTAGTGATACCAGATATCAAGTTCGGAGCTTCAAATATGAAGATGTAAGAGAAATTTCCTAGCGCACCCTGTTTTTACCCAGCGGTCAGGACCGATGATCTCCTTTGTCTTGTCGTCTTCACCCCAGTACCCCAACATGTTCAGATAGCCTCGGATCAAGAGCTCTCCAGGTGTTCCAAATGGCACCATCTTCCCAGTGGCATCCACAACTTTGGCCTGCAACCACAATCACAGTTCTGAAACTTGATCTACTTCAACCACTCGGTAAAAGGTCCTATGTTATAAATTTAATTAATTTTGCTTTTATCCTCAAACAATTACAACGTGGTAACTCTTCACTGACTAGTGGCAATATGATGTCGGGGAAAAACCTCTGTAATTGGGCATTTTATAACATGAGAGTGACATGACTGTTCCTCAGTGCTGTGGTACTTGCATACATGATCTGAACCTTTCTGGCAAAGAGAAATGACCATAGATGTGGCACACAAAATCAGCATGGTCAGTTCAGAAGCAGCAATCCTACCATGTATTACCACGGTTGGTTTGATTCTAATGATTCTCATGATGATGGTGGTGATGATGCTGATGATAATTATTTGAGCACTACGAAGGAAAAGAGATTTTAAATAGTAATTTAAATAACTTTTATTAATTATGAAAACAAATAACTAACTTCAACATGGTCCACGACACAACCAACGGTAGATGCCTGCCTCTCAGGGGAGTCATGTGGCTTTGACATGAAGGACAGGGGGCTGGTCTCTGTCATCCCATATGCAACCTGCAACAGGATGGTCTTACTCTATATTTGCAAACATTTGAATGCAGTCAAACCTCTTTAATCTGATAAAAGATAATTCGAAAGTAATTATGAATATTATTAATTCCCAGTTTCAAAAGGCTTCTAACTTCCTGTTAGTACTGCGAGCGCGTGCACATGCACACACAAACACAGACATACATTCTTTTGATTAGAACTTACTAAGAGTATATTCCTCATTGGGAACAATACCATCAATCTTTGGCTGTAATACTGCTACTTACACAGAATCTCTTGAGTTTGAAAGTTTTCAGAAGTTCCTGAATGAGCTCTTTGGAAAACAGGGCACCTGCTCCCACTCCCATTTCCAGAGTGTCTGTGTTCAAGTTGTTGGTCTTCTTTGCTGAGGATAGCAGATCCACAAACATGGTGGGTGTCCCATACACAACTGTACATCTGCAGGCGATAAATAGGACACAGGCCATGGTAAAGCTATCGCAAATTGGCAGCTTCATTACAACAGGACCTTCAGCTTAGTCCATTTGAAACACTAGAAGTTCATACACCACAGTATATAATTGCTAGACAACTTACGGACACAAAAACTTCATCAAAGTCAGAAAAACTGCTAAAAAATAACAAAAGGCAATAGCTGTTACAATTTTTGTCTGTTAGCAACACTAATCAGCCAGGTCCATTTTATGCTTGAAAACATCCCTCAAGTTCAGTTTAATTCAGTGAAGGTTCATACAAACTGAAATATGAAAATGTACAGTTCACATGATCACCTTGGATTTAAATTAAATTTTGTAAGCATATAGAGTCACATGAGTAAGAAAAAAAATAAAAAGTTTTTTTTTTACAATGCCAGTTAATTTCAAAGTTTATTGCATTAAAGTGTTTAATTTTTCCTTAGAATTTCCTGCATTTTGATTCACTAAAATGCTTATAACTGATTCTAATTAAGACAGGAAGCTCATTCTTGAACAAATTGATCGCTTTTAAGTGGGGATTTCATTTTATATGTTACTTATAACATTTTAGGGTGCATTAGCATTTTGACCTTGACTTTAATTTATGAAAGAATATAACCCCTTTGTAAGTGGTGTAGAATAGCGATCTATGCATCTTACAGTTGCTCATTTGGAGGAGAAAGAAGGTCAACTTTATGTTCGCCCAGTGAGCTGGAGTTTGGGTTACACCCAGATATAGTGAATGAAGTGGCAAAGAGAAAAGTCTAATAAAAGTTTAATAAAAGAAGCACCTCTCCTGCTGGATTGCTTGGATGGATTCCTCAGCTTTAAAGGAGGCACCAGGTAAGACTATTGTGGTGCCATATAGCAGAGCTGCAACGATTCCTACTACATTGCCAAAACAGTGGAAGAATGGCACTTGGAGGCAGATACGGTGCACCTGTACAGAGAAAGGCATCATTTACTCTATTTCATCTGAAAGTAAAGCTGAAATACATTAATTTAAAACTTCTGAAGGAAACTTTAAAATTTATCATTTATTCTAGCTACTTCAAGGGTAATGACCACTTGGGAAACACAAATGTAGATGAAAGGGCATTATTAAGTTGCATTTTAAAGAAATAGGTTATAAAAATGAAATGAAGTGACTTAGGATGTGATAATGTTCCATATGTTAAGTTCTATAATATTAGAAAATTTCTATGAAAACTGAATAATTAATACTGTTAATGGAAGACCCAGTGCTATGGACTTTTTCTGGAGACATTTTGCTTTCAAGACAGTGAAAAAAGTGTGATGTAAGTGATGACATTACTCTGCACCAGAAAGTGACATACTGAAGAAGGTGAGCTGCACTGAAGTATGTATCTTTTTAAATGTGTCCTTTGTAGTTTTGCATACCTCACTGGCCTTGATATTAATTTATTTTAAATATAAATCTAGTATTGCAAAGTGAGCCACTCTATATGCAACATGGTTCATACATCCAGAAGACTCTTACCTCATATTTCATTAAATATTCACTACATGAAAATCTGTAAATAAAATTTGTGTATTATGATGAGATTTATATTGTAAATAATGTATCTGTATGATGAACTGTTTTTGAGAATGCTGATAAGATTTCATTTCAGCTTCAAGTAGAATGGGTATCATGTTTGACTGACATGAATCATTTGTTAGGAGCTTTGGGTGCAGTTCCTCCAACAACAAATTCTTACTTCATGCACTCTGATTCAAAGTCATACACTCATCAGGATGATGCTTCAACTATGAACTATGGTTATGATAATGTGTCTCACCTTCTGAAACAACTCTGCCCTCTTTCCAAAAGTCAGCATGTTGTTCACAATGTTGTGATGATTCAGCAACGTAGCTTTAGGCTGGCCAGTTGTTCCCTAGTATACAAATTCATTTCTAAAATAAACTAAATACATGCAGTGTCCATAAATCAACTGACACTTCATAGTAGATACTTATTTATTAATTAAATCCATACATCTAAATTCCCAAGACTAGCTAGCTGTTCATTTCTCTTGATTCGTAATAACCATTAACATTTCTACCTCTTACTATTCCAAACAGCAGCTAGCTCGTCCAGAATTTCCATGACAGCTGCAGACATATATCTAGTTGCCCAAACAGAATTTTTCCATAGTCAATTTTAATATCAGATTATAAAAATTTTTGTATTTTTAAGTTTCACTCTCTTAAACATATTGTTCCCATAAAAAGGATACAAGTTTTGAAAACTCTGTAAAATCATTCTATCGAATATAAATATCACTGTATGGTTTTTATACATTTTTCTATGATGGGAAATTATTCCTCTTTGTTTATAAACAGCATATATTAGTTTCATATCCCAGACTGGAATTTTGTATCCTGAGGTTGAAAATAAATAAATTCTTATTTCATAGAAAATTAATATTTATGGTTCTTACATTCCTATTCACAATTATGTGATTTAGAATGCAATGCAACTACTTGACCCCCAACACATACATTATAATTACCCTGTGTCTCAGCTGATAAAGAATTTCAGCAGTTGGCACAGTATCATTAAATAACCTCAAATATAATGATCATTCACACACATATGAAGAATCCCAGATTAGTGGGTATGAATCTGTTCACTAATTAACATAATAATGTTCCTAAGATGTACAGAGAAACAAGTCTGACACGTTTTGATGATGGGGCATGTATTGTGCTACAATCAAATGTCATAAAGCAGTTATATAAAATTCTACTTACTGATGTGAACTGCAAGTTGCAGCCATCATCTGGCTGAATATGTGACTGTAGCTGCTGAACAGTGGACACAAGTTCAGTAGTGGCACTCTCCACCACATCACTGTACCGAAATGCACCTCTGGAATACAGAAGGTCTGCGATGTTATCAGTTACAATAAGACACATTACAAAAATTCTGAAGGCATCTAAGAATGACAAAGTTGTGTGTGCTCGCGCGCGCGGGGGGGCCCTCATGGAGATCTATGAACATGAAGTTAAAACTGCATAACTTGTGAAGAACCCAGCATTTCTCTTAAGGATCTATATCACTGTTATGAAACACGAACATTTATGATACACCATCTTTCATTTCTGAAATAATATTTTGTGACAAAAATCTGAGCTGAGATACATTCTATACTATGACTTTGTTAAATCATAAGATACTGTATGAGGGCCAACTATAAAATTATGAACTACTTTATTTGCATGAGTAGCATACATAAAATTGGGGCAATAAATGGCAGATGTTGGCAACTATTTGCGACTTCACCACAGCTGAAAGGAAGTCACTGCTTTTTTGTATACACATGTTCGTAATGAATGAGCCGGGATAGCTCAGTCAGTATAGTGACTAGCTACGGGCTGGACGACTGTGGTTCGATCCCCGATAGGGGGCAGAGGATTTTTCCTCTAGCCTCTGCGTCCAGATTGGCTCTGGGGCCCACCCAGCCTCCTGTCCAATGGGTACCGGGACCTTTCCCGGGGGTAAAGCACGGCCGGGACGTGATGCTGACCACCTCACCCCCATCTAGTGCCGAGGTCAAGAAAGAGTTGGAGATGTACCTCGAATCCCCCCAAAAACATCTACATGGCATGTAGCGGGACAGCTTTATTTTACTTTTATGTTCATAATGAGCATTGTAGTATGGAATGTGACAAAACAATGTGTGTTCATCAAGCACTCAGTGAAAACTGGAAAGATTGCCATGTAAAGGTATAAAATGCTTGAATCTTCATTCAGAGAAGGAATGTTTTACACCACTAGAACATTTGAGTGACTTATAATGGGAAGAGTTCGTATCAAGGATGACCAATACCCTCGCCATCTACCAACATCACACAGTGAGGAAATAACAGCTCACATTTGTAACAAAATTCGTAGACAATAAGGCAATAAAATGTTTTACTTAGAAGTTATAAAATAGCTACAGGACTGAGTTTGACAGAAACAGGCTGAAAATGGAAGCTGGGTTTGTGAATATTGGATCATGACAATGTACCAGCTCACTCGATACATTCATTATGGGAATTTTTGATGAAGCATAACGTTCCACTGCACCTAGTAACTTTTTATGTTCCCAAAACTGAAAATTTTTCAAAAGTTAAAATAACTGCACAAAGTGCCAGAGAATGTAGGAAGTATAACAGCAGAAATGAATGTCATTATAAAGGTACAGTACCAGATATTCTTCAACAAGATGAAGGACCCTTGAAATCAGTGTTTGATCATCGGGAGATTACTTTAGAAAATAGTATAATAATTTATTCACCATCCGTACATAAACTTAAAATGTTGTTAAAATTACTTAAGAATACATAAAATTACAACATTTTTTATAATTAGATCTTGATATATTTCACATTTGACGACATGTTTCGGTGTATTTCACCATCATCAGGTCAATCAATTTAAAACTGTTTTAAAAAACTGTTGTACATCCTGCTCCGCGTATATTGATATGTTTGACTGTTTTGATTT